CTGGAGGGAGCCCTAGGCTGTGAGCATTCCTTAGCCCAGTGATCAATCTGGTGGCATTTGAAACACAGTCCTGGAGGGACACCTTGAGCTTGAGGAGCCTTTGATCCTTTATTAGTCACTTTAGCTGTTGGCTCTGTAGGGTTTCTTATGGTGAATGACAAAATTTGCAGCTCAGAAAGGTGCTGCTATCAAGCATATCATCTTGGTTATTAAAAATTTTGAATGCAGAATTTAACAATTCCTGTTGTGAAGTCTGAGGACCCTTCTGCAGTTTTCATAATTTTTTATGAATATCTGGGGCAAATTGAGTAATAAAATGCATCTTTAAAATAAGTTGGCCTTCTGGACCTTCTGGATCTAGGGCTGTATAATGCCTGGGGGTGGCAGCTAAACAGGACATGAATTGAGCAGGATTTTCATCCTTTGTCTGGATGGTTTCTTTAAGTTTATCATAATTAACTGCCCTGTGTACTGCCTTCTTGCCCCTCAACTAAATAATATACTTATGACTTCTGCTAGCCAAGGACTGTCCTTCCTCATTGAGCCTGTTAAAAATCCCAATTTGTGCTGGCTTGGGGAACAGCCACAGTGCCCTCCTGAAGATTAGGCTCGAGGCGTAATCATGTGCATAAGTCATCTGCATAAGTCTGAGCCAAGGACCAAATATGTTCCTACTCTTCAGGGGAAAGAGCTGAAGAAAGGATGACATTTATATCCTCCCAGGTTAAGTCATAAGATTGAGTGAGATATTGAAACACTTGAATATATCTAGTAGGGTCTTTGAAAAAAAGAACCTAATGCTGATTGATCTGAGAGATATTGGACAGGGAGAAGTGAACATGGACCTGAACTTTCCCTTCTGCTCCTGCCACCTCTTGAAGTGGGAAGTGGGGAGTAGAGCATATTGTAGTCCAGACCATGAATGGGGTGGGATTGAACTGGGCACAATATACAGGGGAGGGTCAGGTGCAGAGGGCAGTGTCAGGTAGATGGGGACTTTGGCAGGGAGTGCAGCAGTGACAGGAAGCTTGGAAAGGGAGGGAGAGGCAGCTAAGATGACAGGAGGCCCTGGGGGGAGAAGGAGCAGTAGTTCCTTTAGTTATAGCTGGAGGCTCGAGAGAGAAAGGGAGAGGCAGCTGAGATGGTAGGAGGCTCCAGGGGAGGGGGAGCAGCAATCCCTGCTACCATAGCAGGAGGCTGGGAAGGGGTGTTGAGCAGCCCCTGCAGCTGCAGGAGGAGGTGCTGGAAAACCCTGGGGAATAGCAAGGTCAGTTGGATCTGTTGTTAGGGAGGAGTCCTTGTCAGGGAGAGATGGTTTAGATGGAAAGGAAAGAAGGGTCTGAGAAGGTTTACAGGAAGTGCACAAAGTGGGAATGTTACAAAGTGTAAAGAATTCCGGAACATTAGGGAACTCTGGACCATTTGTTCAGTCTCTGGCAATAGCTATCTAAGTCTTACAGGGTAGAAAAATAAAAAGTGCCATTTTTTGCCCACTGAGAGCCATTTTCTAGTTTGTATTGTGACCACTCAGTGTTATAGAAGAATGTCAAACATTTAGGCTTCAGATCAGGGAGTAGATGGAGAGTTTTCAGATTGTTTAACAGATATTGTAAAGGGGAAGAAGGAGGGCTAGAAGTAGAACAATTCCCCATTAGGACAGAAAACAGGTAGGTTTCATCATGTCTGACATGACAGGACAACAACATGGTCAACAAGAAGACATCTCCACCAGTGACCGAGGCTGTGACAGGAAGTGGGTAGTGACCAAGCCAGTCAGCACTATGATTGGTTTACTATCAAGGGAAAAAGACAGTTCTTTTCCTGGGTTTTCTGTGACCAGTGCTGGGTTTAAAATGGCACAGAAAAGTGAATGGACCTGTTTCTGTCCTGGTGGGTGAGGGGACAGAGAGAAAGTTAAGGACAAGGGAGGGTGGAACTACAGAGCAGCTGTAGTTATAGTGAGAGCTGCAGCAGCAGGTGTTGAAGGGGGTCTTAAAGTTATTGCATGGAAGAGAGAGAGAAAGGGAGATCTTAAAGTCAGAGAGACCGTAAAAGGCATGGGGAGTGGAAAACAGGGCTGAGATGGCTAAGATGTAAGAAAAAAAAGCTTAACCTGGTCTGAAGCCTGTGGAATGGAGCTGAGCAGCTTGTCTGGAGTGCAGAAGCAAAATCTGGAGACCTATGTTGCCAAGTGACTTTAGTGGTGCCTTAGATAGGGTGTAAAACTCTCCAAGGAGAGTACCCAAGTCACAGCATCAAAATGTTATAGATAGCACACATGAATCTGTTTGTTTAAGCAGGCCCTTTTGTTGTGAAAAAGAAAAGTTTATTCCACTGAACAGAGACTAAAATCAGGGACTAAAATCAGGGAGAGATTCTAGCAGCTAGCAGGGAAGGAAAACTATGTTTATATAGATTTGGGGGAAGGGGCTATAATCATAATGAATGACTTGGATGCCCAAGGATGGTCTGCTTAGGTATGTAGACAATCACTGGACTTCTCAGTGCCACAGGGATTGTATACTTTGTTTTGTGTTCATTTGTCCTATTTACTGAGAAGTTGCTGTTGTTTGCTTTGTCCTGTTTGTTAGGCCAGGCACGACACTGACCATGGACTGGAACCTGGGAAACTGTGAGCCAGAATCACTCTGTCCTTCCAATAAGCTGATTATCTCAGATATTTTGTCACAATGATGGAAAGCTAACACAGGGCCACAGTGGTTTTAGGACGAGATACTGGCAGAAGCCAAATGAGGCCACTGATGAAAGGAGAGCCCACACTCTATGGAAAGGACTTCCAAGAGGAGAAGATGGAGGAAAGGGAGAGGCACCAGCTTGGCTCTTCTGAGCTGGTAAGCAGGTTGACCACAGCCATGTAGACAATATTCATGTTAAGAACATGTGAGATAGGGGAACAGGCCCAAAAGAGAGGACTTGAGGGTGAAGAGGGAGGGCTCTGGGACACTGCACAGGTAACCAAAGTGAGTAAGGGAGGCTGTCTTTGTTACTTAGCTCAATTTGGCATAGCTAACCTTGCACCCATTTACTTTATACTGTAGAGAAATTTAACTGTGCACCTAAACAAAGGGCAAGGAGTATGACGAGGAGAGCCAAGTAAGACAGACAGTAAACGTGGGGAGGGCAGTGTCTTTGAGAAATTCCCTTCTTCCATGCTACCCCTAAAGGCAACAGGGAAGAGTGGTGTTGCTGTGGGCCCAAGTTGTCCCATGCCCACGGGTCTGTGAGGTGGGGGACTATGGCTCCCCACTTGGACCACACCAGCCAGGTCTTCCTAGGGCAACGATGCTAGTGCCTCTCACCATGGAGACCTGGCAGATGTTATCCCCTGCTCTCGTGCTTGCCTGCCTACTCATCCAGCCCAGTAAACTGTACACTTAGTGTTTTCAGGAAACTCAATAGCTGTACGAGTCTCAACCCTTTTGTAACTCTAGGGTTTCAGACTCTGATAGGAGGTAAACTGAATCTGGCACCACTGGGGGAGGGTCCACACTTCCTGAATCTGAACCTGAAGCTACTAGACCATCTCTCCTAGAGCCCAGCCCTCAGCAGATGCAGTGCCTGCCCATCTTCAGACCTTGAGGGTGTGTGTCTCCCTTCCCCATTTGCCTGGCCCTGTGGGATGTGGAACAAGACTGCCTGGGTTCAACTCCTGCATTTAGCATGAACCTTTGGTAAACAGCTTAATCTACCAGCTCTTGCATTTCTTAATGTGTAAAAGAAGAATGTGATTGCTTGGTTTGTTATCAAGATTAAATAAGATGGTGGACAAAAATAATAGCCACTGGGATGTAGCTCAGTAGGCATAGTTAAGCAAAGTTGACTCTCTTTGGGTCTTGGCTTCTCTGTCACAGCCCAAGCCAGGTCTGTCTCCTTCTTCTGCAAACATTTATGCTAGGCAAAGTGTGGTGACCCAGTAAAGAACACAGCCAGCCTAAATTTGGGAGTTCCAGGCAGGACCTCCTGGAGGAATGCCAAAGGAGAGTCGGACTGCCATTTATTGAGTTGGGTCTTTCATGGATGTGGGGTGCGGGGTTAGTGGCTTAGATGGAGTGAGGCAAAGGGAGGTGTGAGATTGAGGGATTGAGATGGCTGTGTGTCCACAGCGATGGTTCATGTTCTGTTGTGGGTGCCTTGTGACCTAATAGGTGGAGCGGGTGTGCCATGTCCTAGCAGAGTGGCAGCTGGGAACAGCCATTTCAGGAATTCAGCTGGTTGGGGAGGGGTATCAGGGTTCAGACCTATCAATTTCTTTGCCATGTTTTCAAGGCTTTCTTTTGGACCAGTGCCCACTGTAATTTCTGTGGGTCCTGCCATGGTGTTTCCTGAACCTTGGAAGCCAGTGCTGCCTATTCCAGAATATTCTACCATCATCAGTAGCAGCCACGTGGCTTGTTTGGATTTCATGGGATGGGATTTACCAAGAGTTTCTCTTTCTTTTTTTTTTTTTTTTGGTACCGGGGATTGAACTTGGGACCTTGTGCTTGCAAGGCAGGCAGCAGCACCACTGAGCTAAATCCCTGGCCCTATACCAAGAGTTTTTGAGGAAGGCTTTTCAAGTGCCCTGTGAAGAATACAGGAGCAAAACTATGCAGGCCTGGTCCTCTCTCCCTGAAAGGTGGGACAGCCAGTTCTGAATCTTAAGGGGAGAAGCCACAGAGAATTAGAAGCATTTTTCCCCTCAGGCTTTCACCTGCGCCTTGTGAGGCCTCCGCCTCCACCCAGCAGCCACAGCAGCTGCTCCCAGGGCAAGGAGTAATAATAATGCCCTGTCCCACAAGCACTGTCTCTCTTCTCAGAGCCAGATGGTCAGGCTGTCTTTGCAGCAATTTCCATTCCCACTCAACCAGCTGGCAGCTTAGAAAAGGGAAACCCCTCCTTCAGCCTCAAACTTACCACTCAACTCCATCCCCTGGAGCCTGGTTTCCTGAAAGAGCTCTCAGGCCACACCCTGATGGGTTGTACTCTGACTTGTTTTCTGGGTGCCATGGGGACTGCAACTTATCAAATTATGAAACATTCACTGCAGCAGAATGGATCTTGGTCTCCTGGAGGAGGAGGCTAGGGGAGCACCCGTCACAGGTCTGACGGGGCCAGGTAGGACCTGCAGCCTCTCCCTCCTGGCCACCTCTGCCCTGAGTCAGGCACTGAGAAGTTAATCTCCCTCTCTTGAAGCAGTCTTACCTCCTTCCAGACAAGTACTCTGTCCTGCTTCTGCCAGAAGGGCAAGGACCCCATTGCCATGAACTCTGTCATCCCCATCTGTGAGCTACCCAGCTGCTTGGTGAGTGCTGGAGGGGGGACCCGGGCACAGGAAGGAGGCTGGGGAGGCCCAGTGTGGTGTCCCCAGTGCCTGACTAGAGGCTCAGCCTTTAGATTAGGTTCAGATAATCAGGCAGGAGTGGCAGCTCCCTCCTCTCCTGGAAGAGCCTTGGCTCTTCCAGGGCAGTCATCATCTCAGGCCAGTGTCACAAAACTAGTACAGAGTTTGCTCTCACTGTGACACCCACAAAGGCCTGGGGTGGGGGGGATGGGCTCTCTGGGCAGGGCAGGTGGTGCCGGCCATTTCCTCACCTTTACTCAGGGTGGGCTCTGCTGAAACTAGGTGTCCTTTTCCAGGTTCCTCAGCACCAGGCTTTCTCTTTTCTGAAGCCCTTTCTGAATCCAATGAAAGGAAAGAGAGAGGGAAGCAGAGAGAGAAGTGACTTCTACCAGACAGTCAAGAGGCCTCAGACACTGTGTGCTTTAATTTCTTCCCTATAAGTGAATGCAATAGGCACTAGTTCCTGTCTCACAGATGAAGAAACTAAGCCTGGAGAAGCCAAGTCACAGGACCCCTTTGGCAGCCTCTCCAGTTAGTTCCTGGACACCATCTCTCTCTCCAGCCTTACTTGGCCACTTAAAAATAGCAGGGAGGACTGAAGGGAGAACTTCTGTGGTTGCCACTGCCCACTGCCAGGGCAAAGGGCTGCTCCCTACTGGCTAGGACGCAGCCTAGTAAGGCCCAGCTAGGGCTGTGGGGATGGGGCCACCACAAAGCTGAGCTGGGCTCTGAGTTTTCCCTGGAGCCGGCTGCCAGGCCCTGCCCACTGTGGCTCATTCTCTTGCAGAGTGCCTGGCATTCTCTGCTGAAGAAGCTGGGGGGCACTGAAAGAAAACTGCCCCTCTTGCCCTCACCTCAGAACTCTGCCTGCCACTTGCCTCAGAGGCCAAAGATTCTGGGGAAAGAAGTCGAAGACTCTGTTTCCCAAAGGCTATGGTGTTTTCCAGATTTAGGGTGTCCCTGCAGCAAGCTGGAGGGAGAGGTCTGGGTACCTACACATCCCCTTTTGCGGGGGGGTGAAGGGGGAGGACACAGCATGAGCAGGGGCACTGAGGCTGCATTGAGGGAAACCTGGGGAACCCTACCTGCGAGTGATGGGCGAATGGAATGTCAGGGCAGGACCAGGTGGGGCGGGCACTGGCAGGGATCCCGCTGTGTGGGGTGGAGATGGTGTCAGGAGGACAAGGGATCCACCTGCACCCCAGGGATCACTGCTGTGCCATACCAAGGCCTCCTGTGCCTGGGAGCTGCAGGGCCGAGCCTGTTTACACAGGGCACAGCTATAGGCCACTGCCCCTGACATCGGAAGAGGAGGGTGCTCACATGGACAAGCCCTGCAACTTAGCTGAGCCCCAGTCTCTTCCTCTGTGCTGGGTGGGGCCCTGGGAGACGTAAATGAGAGGTGCAGTGGAAGTTCTTTGTGAAGTGCTGTGCATGCCAAGGCTCACGAGAACGCCCATACGGAGCTGAGTCCCCTGGAGAAATCACAGATTGTGGAGAGCCGAGAGACTGACCTAGACCCAGAGGAGGAGGTTGTGACCCATCTTCTCACCCCATCGCACGTGATCAGGATGTGTGTCCGGAAGTCCCCTCCATAAAGGACTCAGAAGCCTTCTTTGGCAGAATAATAGTGACTGAATAAGTCACACACACAGTGACTCCCAGCCAGGGGCTTTTCTGGAATTCTCCCCTATTCTGATGTCTCCCAGGGGGGGCTTCTCCACCCTCACCTAGAAGCACCTGGGCTCCCACATCTCTGCTACTCTGGATGTCTTCAATGTAGTAAAGATTCCTGGCTGACACACAGGACTCTGCGTGCACCCTGTCCCGGCTTGTTTTATTCCTGTGCCTCATGACTTGGCATAGGAGACTTGAAATAGTTAACAACAAAAGATATATTTATAAGCAGTTAGGTGAGTAAAGTAGAAATAGACAACCAAGCACACTGTAAGAAAAAAACAAGTGTGTTTGGAGAAGGGCTTGTATCATGAACTCAGGGTATTGCCTCGGGCTCTGTGCTTTCTACCCAATGGCTTCAGGGAACTGACATACTTGTATCACAAGGGAAGAGCCAGCTGTCCTCAGGAAGGAGAAGTTTTCCAAGCTCTAAGTTCTAAACTATTTTTTCATGTGGGGCATCAGGCAGGATCAATTTCCCAGACAACTCTTCTGAAGCAAATGCTAAAGTGGATTCTGTAGCCATCAGGTGGCTATGTTGATAGGAAGACAGAACCTGGGATATTCAGAAGTTTTCCGACCAGCCACAGTCTTGGACATTGGCCCTCACCCTGCTAAGAAGCGGATAGGTTAGAACCAGCAGTTTTCCCAGTCATGGTGGCCAGAGGTCCTGGGTGAGGTGTGAGGGATGGGCTTACTGGCAGGATGCACAGAGCTGTCATGGCCACAGCCCTGTGATCACACACACACACACACATACACACACGGGGTGCCAAAGCACCACACATGCTCCAGCTGTGAATTCCCTCTGACCATCCTAGACAGACCCTAGAGGGAGAGACTGAGGCTGGGAGAGGTGATGTCAAGGGCCTAGGGTCATTGAGCTGTGGGTGACAATCACTTCTGCTCTCCTCTCTGCATGAACTTCTCAGAGTTGCCTGCTCAGAATCAATCAATCAGTCATTCTCGGTCTCCTTTCCCCTCTCCTCTTTCTATGGCTTTATCTCTGAGGCGTTTCACAGATTCCTCCATACATCTATGAAAGCCTCACCAGAAGTGGTCAAAAGCCCAGCGCTCCCCCCAGAAGCTCCCAGTCTGTCTTTGACCAAGCCCTGACCCCTTTAGGGAAAATTAACTTTTTTTCCTGTGCAATCCCAGCATCAAGGAGCATCAGCACCTCCTCCTCCTCCTCCTCCTCCTCAGAAATCTAAACAGGGTAGGCTTGTTGTTTCACAAGAGTTCCAATCAGTTAAAGTGAGGGATTTATTTAAAAAATAATTAGATGTCCTGATATTCATTCAGCATTCGTTCATTCATTTTGCCAGTTCAGTGAGCACTAAGGTGGAGGTGGAGAAGGTACAGGACTTCAGGGCCTTTTGGACAAGAACACATCCAATGACAGTGTGAACCTGCTCTCAGGCTGGGGAAGCCCCTGAGGAGGGGAGGCCTCTTCTAGTCTGAGGCTTGGGGGTGAGGTCAGGGAAGGCTTACTGGAGGCGTGAGTGATTGCTAAGTAGAAGAGTGAAGCAAAACTCTTACATTTGTGTAGGGTTTTTTTTAGATTCTCAGGATTGAAACTAGGACTCACACACTGAGCTACATCTCAAGCCTTTTTTAGTAATTACCTTACATTTTTTTTGAGACAGGGCTTTGTTAAGTTGCTAAATTACCGAAGGCTATGCTCCGAGTTGCAATCCTCCTGCCTCAGCCTCTCAAAGTGCTGGGATTACCAGCATGGTGGCGTGCACCACCATATCCAGCTACATCTGTGTTTTAGGACCTAACGTTAGAAGATTAACAAAGACATATTGTCTTTTTTTTGGTACTGGGGATCGAACTTGGGACCTTATGCTTGTGAGGGACCACTGAGCTAAATCCTCAGCCCAAACACATACTGTCTTATAATGAGAACAAAATTACTGCAGAGCTGAGGTGAGGCTAGATCAGTATATTCGTGTCAGCAACCCTGGCCCTCAGCCCTGGCTCTCTGGGATTTGCTATCCCATCCTTTCTTCATGCCAGCAGTGGAAACCTCAGGCACGTGGCAGGAAGGAATTAGCAGTCAGTGCTTGATGCCCTAGGGGAGGAAGGGCTGGGTTCCTTCACTTCCACGGAGGGCATGGTGTGGCAACTGCCCATCCCCCCCAGGTCCCCCCTCCCGCTCCAGCCAGGGCTTCCTCTGGGGAGCAGGTTCATCCTGTTACTACAATACTTTCTTCGGTAGGGGTGATGTGACCCCCACCCCCTGGACCATTTACGATGTCTGGAGACACTTTGGATTGTCACAAGCAGAAAGGAGGAAGGGAGACTCTAGCATCTAGTGAACAAAGGACAGGAATGCCACTGGACATAGCACATGCAGAGCATAGCCCCTGCCCAGCCCTGCCTTGCGCACAAAGCACAGCAAAGAATTGTCCAGTCCAAGTGTCAGGAGTGCTGAGGCTGAAAAGCCCTGTCATAGGAGGCCCCCCGCACAGTCTTCGGGGCATACAGTCCAAGATTCCCGGTGGATGCCTGGAACTGTGTAACCCTGAAAGTGAAACCTTGGACTGGGTGAAGGAGGGCTACTGTGTAATGTTCCACAGGGACAGTGCTGTCCTGGAGATGGTGGTTACAACCACCCAGTTATTATTATTATTATCATCATTATTATTATTATCATTATTATTATTATTATTATACTGATGATTGAACTCAAGACCTTCGCACTGAGCTACATCCCAGCCCCCCTTTTTTTGTTTGCTTTAAATCTTGAGACTGGGTCTCGCTCAGTCGAGTTGTCCAGGTTGGGCTTAAACTTGCGATCCTCCTGCCTCAGCCTCCCAGGTGCCACCATGCCCAGCTTACCACCCAGTTCCTGACCTGGTGGCTTTCTTGCCTTTCTCCACATCTCAGCAAGTGGTGACCCCCATCCCATCTCTTCTCCCTCTCCTCTGATCCATTAGGTAGAGTAGGCAGTGTCTGGCCCCTAGGACTTTTAGAGATTCATCAAAATATTCTCATTTATTTTAAAATTAGATGGGAAAAATCTACTTTAAGGTCAAAGGGAAAAAATGTTTGTGTGTGCAGTGTTGGAGATGGAACCCAGGGCCTTGTGCACACTAGGTGAACACTGCCACTAGGCTACATCTGCAGCCCGTCAGAGAACATGTCTGAAGATACTGAACTTCATACCACTGTGGTCCCCAAATAGAATTTCAGATACTGTTTCTAAGGAGGAAGGTGCTGACAGAATCAGAGTCTTAGCATCTGCCCTGGAGTGTCGCAGTGTGGCCCTGGGCAGAAGCTGTTCTTTGAGGCTGGGCTGCAGCACAGGGCACTTCAGCTGGAGGTGGGTGCTGAGTGGATGACTTCAACATCCCTTCTGGTCCTGCCTGCCCCGGGATGCCCTTGGGGACATCATCTAGAGTGGTCTGATCTTCATGTTGGTGCCCTTGCCACCTTCTGGCCACACCAGACACGATGTTTTCAGGTCCCTCTCACTATGACCAGATGTACAGGTGTTGGCCTTGCTCACATGTTCAAAGCCCTTCCACTTATGGAGGTCACAGTACTGATAATAGCTAGTATTTATTGGGCAATTACACTGTACTAAGCCCTGGACTATGTCCTTCATGCTATAATTCATTTTTTCAACCATCTATTGAGGGTGGTAATATTTCTTTTACCCTCTTTCCCTAAAAATAAGACCTATCTAGAAAAAATCAGCCTTGAAAACTAGACATGAAAAATGCCAGCATCACCAGCCTGTCCTTGCCTTTCCTGCCATCACTATTGTTGTGCTCGGTGGCTACTCTGTAAGGCAGGTAAGGCAAGGGTAGGCTGATGGGGCTGGCATTTTTCATCTCTAGTTTTCAAGCCTGATTATTTTCCAGCTAGGTCTTATTTTCAGGGAAGCATGGTATATAGATAAGAAAACTGAAACCCCAGTGTGGTGGTGCATGCCTGTAATCCCAGCACTCAGGAGGCCAAGGCAGGAGGATCATAGTGAGTTTGAGGCAACCCTGGGCTACATAGTGAGTTCAAGGCCAGTCCAGACTACATAGCAAGACCCTGTCTGAAACAACAACAACAAAAACCACAAAACTCAGACTCTGAGATTTAGAAAGATTAGTAATTTTCCCTAGGGCCATAGATTTAGCTCAGTGGTTCTGTCACCTGCCTCGAAAGCACAAGGTCCTGAGTTCAATCCCTGGTACAAAAAGAAAAAAAATAACAATTTGCCCAAAGTTAGCAAGCTATACAGCCAAAAAGTTGGATAGAAAGTCTATGATTCAAAGTTAATTTTGACTAAACTGGTTGGAATGCAAGTTGGCTATTGACTCTAGACTAGTGTTGGCAAACCTATGGCAGGCAGATTATTTGTTTTTCTTTTAAGATGAAAGATGTTAATGTATAAGTTGTTTTCCCTAAACTTAAACCTCAGTATTCAGTTTTAATTGCAGTGTTGGCATTTTGCAATAAATAAGTGGGTTTTGGGTTCCAGTTTCGGCACTCATCTCTAAAAGTTTCACCATCACTGCTCTAGACTATTCTGTATGTATGGTGATATCTACAGTAGGATGACTCATTTATTCATTCATTTAATCTACACTGAGCACATGGACTTCACTGGAAACTGAGATGACAAATAGAGTAAAGTACAATCAAAGCATCCTGGAGCTAACTAGGAGAAGAAATGGAGAAGGGAGCTATGCATTGTAGTAAAGAGAGCTTTGGCAGGTGTAAACCCAGGGCCCTGGGATCTGGGAGGGAAACCTGCCCATGTCCAAGCCTTTGGGATGGCCCTTTACACTCCCGCAGAGCTGCCTCTCTGCAGGGGATTTGGGTAAGGCCCTTGCATGGCCTGGACTTTACACAGAGGCCCAGCTGCAGGAGGTCCCTGGTCTTGGGTCTGGACCTTGAACTCCAGCTGGCTAATGTCTTTCCCAGCCCCACGCCCTCTTGTCTCTGGAAGGCTGACCTACTATCCCACTGAAGACATGACGTCCACTTGACTCTTCCTTAAGTGCCCTGATGTGTCTTTCTTTCTCTCATTCCCAGAAGATGGATGGGGAATTGCTCAGCCCCCACACCGATGGGCACGGCAGGAAGAGGGATGGGCAGCCCAAGAGTCCCAGCAGCAGCAGCAGCAGCCACCTGGCCTATAGTGTCTTGGACATCCCACCGTGGTATCTCTGCATCTTTTTGGGGATCCAGGTAAGGCCACCCAGCAGGCACTAGGTCCAAAGAGGGTCTGCCTTAAAAGCTACAGCAATACATAGCTGGATCAAGCCAGTCAACATTATCAGCTGCAGTTGCTGGAGTAGCTTGCATGTTGTTGACCTCTGGGGAAACTTAAGACCCTTCAGTCTCTTTCATTCTAGGGGAGGGTAGTTAGAAAAGGAGCCTTCCTCATGCTGAGCTGACTGGTCCCTTTTTCTCTTGAATGGGTTGGTTAAAGGTTCTGTTCACTTGGCCAAGGCCCATGGGAGGCCAGAGATGTATTAGGTCAAGTACCTTCCTTGAAGCAACCTCTGCCTAATGTAGCTTCTGTCTGATTCAGCTTCCACCAAATCCCCTGGGTTCTCTAAGACCAAGATATTTACTGGATAACAGGAGGGACTTGTCCCTTCTGGTTGCTTTAGCTGTTGGTTTGGTTAGCCAGTGTTGCTGGCCATGGTATGAGACAGGAAATGAACATTGTGGGTTCTTGGCCCTGTAGGATGTTGTGGCCTGTCGTGATCTAGCTGATAGCAAGTCAAAGACACATTCACAACAGGCCATGAAGGATTGAACCTCTTGAGTCAATTATCCCAAGGGGCACAGAAGCAACAGCAAGGATTGTTAAAGGACCATCCCTTTGAGACATGATTAATGTGGTGACCAGAGCTGAAACTGCTCCTTAAAGAAGACCTGGCCATTCACTCCACGGCTGTCTCCGTTCTCTGCTGTTGTTACCCATGTGGCTGGAGAGTCTTGGGCCTCTCCTTCCCCAGGTGGCTGGTTCAGGCTTCTCCCAGGGCCCAGGCCTGTTCCATGTGATGCAAACAGAACCTGCTCTGTTGCTGTCCTCCTCTAGCATGGGGTGGTACAGGTCTCTGTCCTGATGGATTAGTACATTCTGAGACCCACCTTTGCCTGGGGGTGAATGGAGCATGGTAAAGCAGGTAGGTGGAGTATATGGATACATTTTAGTTTTCATTTTCCTAAAAACAAATTCCAGCTTTTCTTGTGGTTTAATTTAACTCACATTGAGGTTTTGGATCAAAGTCCCCCCCAAATAAGAACATGATAATTGGCGTTCCTTTGCCTCCTTTGTGCAAGGGTCACACAGCACGGTAGAAAAGACTGGCCAGGGCAAGGCAAGATTAGTCATTCTGAGTCTTGTGGTCTAATTCTGCCATGACAGCACTCTAATGGCAGCTCTTCATGGAACTGCCCCTCACAGTAAGCTAACTCCTTCCTTTTTCCCTGGCTCCATCTCTCCTTCCTTCCTTCCTTCTTTTCTTCCTTATTTCTTTCCCCTCCTGACTGGTCCAACAGCTAAGCCAAGCCAAACCAAGCCTGCCAACCATGGCTTAATTGTATACTCCAAGCCTCCCATAATTGTCTAGGATCAGGTGGAGAAACTACCCTATGGGATAAACCTACAATTGTACATTAGCTCCTCCTGATGACAGCACATCAGAGGGATTCTGTTAGCACCAGGAGTAGGAGGCCCTGTGCAAATGCTGGCTGAGACTTGACCTACATTATCAGAGAACAAGATGGACTGGAGCAAAAGAGAGAAGCAGGTGGATTCACATGTCTTTGTTCTCAGAAAGTTTCACTCAGGCCTGGTCAGCCTTTCTGCTTTGGGCTAGATGGTGTGAGATACTGGCCCATTCCTGATTGGTCTTGATTGCTTGGCCCTCATATCTATCTGTCTCCTATCTGTCTGTCTGTCTGTCTGTCTATCCATCCATCCATCCATCCTATCCATCCATCATCTACATCTAATTTATCCCCTTTACAGGTGATGCCACTTGCTATGACTTTCTGCCCTTCCCTGAACTCTGGTCCATCTGAGGGAGCTCAAACAGCCCTTGGCCCATGGTTCCAAGTTAGTGTTCAGGCCTGCCCCATCAATGGTCGCTCCTGCCGTGTGCCTCGTGTAATGATGAGCCCTGTTCTTACAGCCCCACTTGGTTCCTGTTATGCTCTCCTGTGCTTGAGTGCTTGCTTGGTTTCTCCTCTAAGATATCAGCTCTGGTGTCAGGGCCCTGCCCTCATCCCAGTGGCTCTGGCTAGGCCCTGCTTCTTACTGCCAGGCCTCCCTGGTCTGGATATCTAATCTGGACAGCTTGTCTGCATCTTCGCCTGCCACTCCTTGTAGATCCCTCCCAGACCAGCCACAGAGCTCTTACCTCTGACCACAGGGAGGGGTCCCCACCAAGGGCTGGACTGCTGTCTTGCTTAGAGAAGTGAGGTACGGCAGGCACCACAATACCCACATGCCCATCTCCTCACTCTGCCCACAGCACTTCCTCACAGCCCTGGGGGGACTCGTGGCAGTGCCACTCATCCTGGCCAAGGACCTGTGCCTGCAACATGACCCTCTGACCCAGAGCTACCTCATCAGCACCATTTTCTTCGTCTCTGGCATCTGCACTCTCCTGCAGGTGTTTTTAGGGGTCAGGTAAGTAAAACCGCTCCTTGTGGATCATGGCTCTTACCTGCTGGGGTATCTATGTACAAGGTCCACTTGTTCTGTTACTGGGGAGGTGGTCAGGAAGTTGGTGAGGAGCAGTAGCAGAGCCTGAGCCAGGGTTCAACTTCCATCTCCAGCACCTATAATCTCTGTTCGGTGCTGACTGAAAGAAACACAAATTAAGATTGGCTTGCAGAAAAATATTTTCTTTATTAACTGAAAAGACCAAACCAAGAGAAAGCAGGGTGCATTTGTGCCGCAGGAACATGGCAAGACAGGGACCCCAATGCCACAGGGCTTTCTCCCAGTCTCTGCTCAGGCCTGCCCCTAATACTTGTGAGGCCCTGATGGAGACTCAGGTATTCCATGTGTAAATATTAAAAAGTTATAACCCCATCTGGGAAACTGAAACAAAACATGTCCCAATCATCCTACCTAGAAGTGTGGGTTGGGATTGTGATTTCTCTGTCTCCTTAGAGCTCTGCTTTGGCATCTGACTGCAGGGGGAGACCAGCTGCCAACCTGTGATTTGATCCACAGGTGTCTCTTACACACAAATGTGGACATGTGCATCAGTCAGGGCCCTCCAGGGCAGGTGAGCCAGTAGGATGCACAGAGCTATGTACAGGATGAAACTTACTACAGCAATTGACTCATGCAGTTAGGGAGCTAAGAGCTCCTTGGTCTGCCACCTGCATGCTGGAGAACCAGGGAAGATGGTGGTGTGATTTGGGCCGAGTCCTGGATTATGGGGTGAGTGGTGGAGGGTGAGAGGTCAGTGGTGTAAGTCCCACTCTGAGTGTGAAATCTAGAAACCCAGGAACACCAAGATCTGAGGGCAGGAGAAGATGGTGTCCTGGCCCAAGAAGAGAAAGAATCTGCACTTCCGTGGACATTTTGTTCTCTTTGGACTCTCAATAGATAGAGTAAAACTGACCCACACCAATGCAGGAGATCTCCCTTACTCAGTCTACTGATTTGAATGCCAATCTCTTCTAGAAACACTGTCACAGATACACCCAAGAATGGTTTACCAGCTGTCTGGGGCATCCCTTAACTGGACAGTGTAAAATTAATGTGAGAGACAGGAGGGCTGAGTATCCAGACACTTACCACCCATAAGTGAGAGGGCACTGCTTTAGCCAGTCTCACATTTTAAAATTCCAGGAAAGAGCTGACTGGCTCAGCTTAAGTCAAATGCCCAGCTCTGGACCTGCCAGGGCAATAAATATGACACTTGTGTTCAGGAAATGTTCCCAATGAAGTAAAGAGGAATTCTTCTCTAAGTAGATGTGTAAACATTCACTGAACTAGTAATGTGGTTAGAGACATGTGACATAAAGCCACAGGTGTACAAGGGGTGATTATAGGGTGAATGTTTAAATTTTAAAAATTATTACAGTAAAAGACACATTGTCATTAAGCTCCCCCCCCCAAAAAAAATATTTCCCCTTGCTTGGAACACACTTATCCCATTGTTCTGGCCACTTTCTGAAGCAGTTCTGGAAGTCCTCTTTCATGAGTGTCTTTACAAGGTGTGATAAAAAATACAGTGAATGTCATTATGGCATCCAATGGAAATGTAGGTTTATAAAAACATTACAGTGTGTCCTCATGAACCTTACTCACCTGGTCAGGCACTGTCAAAATTACCAGGAAACATTTTGAATTGATTCAGGACATCAAGGCAGCCATGACAATGTAACTAAAGACACCCACAAACGAGGGCTTCTAGACTGCTTCAGAAAGTGGCCAGAACAATGGGATAAATGCATTCAGAGTGAGAGGGGAGTACTTCGAGGGGACCTAATGGTAATATGTCTTTTATTGTAATACTTTTTCTAAAAAATTTAAACATTCACTACGTTTTTCAATCATACCTCCTCTGTGCCCCTGCTGCCTGACAGTATCATTGAGATAATTCTATAATCAGTGGAATCACCTTTTGATTTTTCAAACCATCAAGTCCTTTTTGTGCGATGTGGGCTGCTAAAACCAGCCTGGGTAAAATGGCGTCCTTTGACTCAAGAGATGGCCTGGGAAGAACTGTGAAGTCTAGAAACTGTGTCTTCGGAGCCCTTGCCCTCATTGCCACACATCCTCTCTTCACATTCCTTACCTCGACTCTGCCTCACACAGGGCTTCTCTGCCTTACTACCTTCTTGGTAGATTCCCCTCTGTGGGTCCTGATCACCTCACTATGGCAAAACTGTTTGTTCAGGGCCTCCTTCCTTTAATATCTCTTTAGTCCAAGGTTGGTGGACTTGATCCAGGGCTGTGGAGCCTCAAGGTTGTAAAGATTTTGCTGTCCTTTTAAGAAAAAGAACAGAAAACTACCAGTACAAACTCATGTACAAAGGACATTTATTTACATAGAAAAGGTAGTTGCAGCAAATCACAAATTTTAAAAACCAGATAAAGACCACAAATTCCAAAAAGTAGCATGACACATTTTTTCTTATCCAGCTGTCTGACAGTAATACTCTCCCACCCTTGCATTTTATGGTTTTATACTTTTTAATCATCCTTATTTTGTAGTGAGAAGGACACATAATTCAGCTATCCTGGGTTAGTCCAAAGTGTTTGTTATTGCTAGCTAGGATGTGTTATGATTTCACACACAGACTGTAGTACTGATTTAGATTTGTTCCCTACAAACACAGGAGTTCTGATAAATTCTGTTGAACATGATCCTCATAAAAGCTTTAAAAATACATGGTGCATTTGTAAGTGTGTGTGCATTGCATTAAGTATAATTATTTTGTGTGTGTGGTCCTGAGGATTGAACCCAGGACCTTGTACCGTTAGGCAAGCTACTGAGCTACATCTCCAAACCTTTTTATTTTTTATTTTATTTTATTTTTTTCCAGTACTGGGGGCTGAACTCAGGTCCTTGTGCTTGTGAGGCAGGTGAGGCACCACTGAGCTAAATCCTGGGCCCCAACCCTTTTTATTTTAAGACAACGTCTCAGTAAGTTGCCCAGGCTGCAACTTGCAATCCTCATGCCTCAGCCTCCCAAGTAGGTGGGATTATAGGCTTGTGCCACCATATTTGGCAAAAGTATATTCTTGATGGAACACTTCCATTTTGCCTAGACATCGGTGAGAACCAAGTCTTTGCCGATTGTGCATATCGACTTTTCCACAGATAGCTTCTGGCTCCATACACTTCAAATCTTGTTTTTCAATCACTGCTCCTACACATTGAGTGCCAGTTGCTAGAGGACATATGACATCACAATGCCACCTGTGGTCTTGCACCTTTGTGTAGTAACAAGCTAGCACAGCAGTAGTAGGAGTATTTCTGGAAACCATGATTACACAAAGATGGCTAGCAGTAGATTAACTACACTAAGTCTTTCAGTGGTCTCAAACCACATAAATAAATCCCAATACATTCTAACAAAATGTACCCTCACCTAACTTCTTTCCCAAATCCTAAAAGTGCTTATGGCCTTTTAAATGCCACCTGATGCAAGATTTAGAGGTAGAGTGGTGGCAGGGGAAAGAGACAGACCTATAGCCAATGCTGGCTGAAACCTTTTGCTTTTACAAGTTACACAAAGACACATTGATGCCGAATGTGCTGGTGCTTGCCTATAATCCCAGCACTTGGGTGGCTGAGGCAGGAGGATCACTGTGAATTTGAGGCCAGCTTGGGCTGCATGGCAAGTTCAAGACCATCCTGGAACATAGTGAGAACCTCTTCCAAAAAACCAAAACCAAAATCCATCAACCAAACAAACAAAAAACAAAGGCGCATTGTTAATGAACACATCACCAGGTCCTTGTCTACATTTTAGAAGGAACCATGCAAATGAGGAGCCCTTCATCATCAGTCTGCTTTTGACCTCACTTGTGACAAGTGAGCTCAGTCCTGGGCTTGACAAGGAAAAGAGAAAACATTCCCTACAATATGCTTCTCCCTGTGCCTTCTGAAGAGAAAATAAATTTGTGTCCAATTCAGCTTAATTAGCAGAATCAAAGCTTGCCAAATACTGATGGAGAAGTTGGCCAGTTGGTCCCAGGGCTCGTGGAGTACAGGCAGCCTCAGGGAGAATATTCGTTCCTAGCATGGTCTTTTATGCTTTCAGACCAAAGTGCTTCTCAAAGTTCTTCCTTGTAAGTCATTTCCAGGAGACAGAAGAATCCCTGAGTTCTTCCCTCCTCTGGAGACGAGGAGGACACTGGTTCCTCCATCTTTGGCAGATTATGCCCCTTCTCCTCTTCTTTCTTTGTCACCCTCTCTGTGAGCCAAGATTTCTTCCAAAGCCCCCATCAAGGACTCAAAGAAGTACAGAGTTCCCTGTGATCTGTCTTGCAGGCCCCTCAACTCCAAACCCTTCCTGGCTCCCAGGATGGGGCCTGCAATGTAAAGCCTTAGAATGTTAAGCCAAGGAACATTAGGCTGAGGAATGTAAGGCCACAGACAGCCCTGGTGCCCAGGCCTGAATACCCGGGATTCCCCACCCTGCCCAGCCCCATGGGGAGTTATGAACACAAAACCCTGTGGTAGGAACTCCACCCCCCAACCCCGAGATGGTATTAATTTTAATTATGAAAATGTTTCAAGCTTTGAAACTGGAGGCCGGAATTCTAGTCCTGGTTCTGTACTGTAGAAACTTGGACAAGTCATTTATCTTCTCAAAGCCTTGGGTTTCTCATCTGTAAAATGAAGGATTGAACTGGATAACAGGTGTCAGTTCCTTTCATCTCTAATATTGCAGAAACTATGGATGTTGACAGAGAAAATGAGCAATTGTCATATTTCAACTGGATAATGGGGCATGAAATAGCCCATGGGCCTGGCCTTCTTGTAAGTTCTTTAGGAAGCACAAACTATCAGGAGTTCAGGTTCAAGGAACTTACACCCCCATTAACCATGCAAATAAAGAGGGAAATAAAAATTCAAAGGAATACAATCATGATAATATCATTAGACTAAGGTGGGTGGAGAAATGAACTTTAGCTTATTCCCACCCACAGAA